CCTCACCGCCCCTTACTCTCTAAGACCCCTCACAAAGCCCCGGAAGCCACCTTGGACCCCTCCTTCCCAGTGCCCCGGTTCCCATTAACAGTCCAGCCCAGGGACCCGGCCGGCCCTGACTCCCCGTTAACCCCTTCCTGCCTGTACTCTTCCAGGCAACCCTTCCCTGTCACTCAGGGCCTCTCCTCTCCTCCGTCCTCCCAGCCACCCGCGGGCCCCCGCAGCCAGCCGCCTCCCGCTCACTGCGTACCGAAGTCCAGAAACTGCTTCATGGACAGGGGGGACGGGGAGAACTTGCTGAAGTGCTCGATGTACTTGGGCGCCCCTACCAGGGACGCATTCTTCAGCAGCGCCCGGACCCAGCGCATGGCAGCGGCGGCCGCGGCTCGGGCTCTGGCTCCGGCTGTGGTCCCCGCGCGGGCAGCTCTCGCGCTCGGCTCGGCTCGGCCCGGCCCAGCGACGCGGTCCGGCCGCCTCCTCCCACCCGCTGCCCCGGCGGGCCCTCCACGGCCCAGCCAATCGGCTCGCCGCGGCGCCCCGACGTCGCCAATGGCCGCGCACAAACAACTCCCGGAGAACCAATAGCCTTCCGCCCCGGCACGTGGCTTCCCTCGGGGCCCGCCCCCTTAACCCCGTGCGTGTCGCGGCGGCCTGTTGTTTTGGGGAGGCTGCGCGGAGATCCGCCTCCCGTGCATTCGCTCCCCTTCCCTCCGAGGGGTGGGGCCCGCCGGCCCTGTGGCTTCCTCTTCCACTGCTGCCTTTCTCTTGATCCCTCTTGCTCGTCACCTTCCGGGTCCTTCTAACTTCCTCCCCTGAATTGTCTAGGTGGCTTCCAACTAACCCCTTTACCCCCACAGGTACCTGTCTCACCTGTCCTGAGCTTTACCTGCTCTCCCTTCACGGGTCTTGTGGGTTCCCAGTCCAGATAACAGTGACCTAGCTCGTGAATATTTGCAAAATTCGGAACCAGGACGTAGGCCTATCCTAATGCGTCGTACATAGGTGCAGCCCACCCGCTTCCGCAAAGATCTGGAGGTTCCGAAACGGCGGCGTTCTGCTTTTCCAGTGCAAAGACACCCGGGGTCAAACCCCCACGACTAGTGGCGGTGGGGGCAGCAGCTACACCGTGTCGGTTTTCGAAACACTTTCATTTTATTATTACCTAGTTCACCCGACTGAACACAAAGCCTTGGACGTGTAGCGCGACCACCGGGGAAAGCAACCTTCTTGGCACCCGGCTTCCCTGGGGAGAGGTGCGAGGAGGCGATGTGTCCGGGGACGAGGAGACCGCCCGGCCCCTGCGGACCCGCCTCGCCGGGAGGACACGTAGTGCGCCGTCTTGCGGTCAAACGAGGTATGTCCCATGCTGGGCCTAGGGCCCGACTGGCCACTTGGAAGCTTTGCTCTGCCACCATTGGGTCATTGGGCCACACTTAATAAACGCCTAATGTATGCTAGGCTTTGTGCTGGGAACCGAAAGCACACAGGATCAAGACACGGCCCTTTTCCTCTATCATTTCATCTCTCCGTGTGGGAGACAGCGGCATAAGTAAATAATTAGTTATAACGGAATGTGATTGCCGTAGGGCCAAACAAAGCACGGCTTCACAATGGAAGGGACTCTTAGCTGAATGAAAATCACTTATGTGCCAGGCACTGTTTGCACGCATTATCTCACTTAATTCTCAAGACAGCGCTATTGTACTATTATTATCCCTGTTTTATAGATGAGGAAACTGAGACTCAGGGATCATTCTCAACTGCAAAACTGACCTTGTTACTTCCTTGCTCACGGCCTCTCAGTGGCACTCTACTCCTCCTCAGTGCCTTTCCAGCTGTTCGTGGTCTGCTTTGGCTTAACTCTCTTCCTCTCCCTCCATTCGCCTGCTCCTCCCAGCCATCCCTGTCTGCTGCCTTGAACCAGCCTCTAAGCTCCAAGCCATTGTAAATGCTGTCTCTTCTGTCTGGATCATTCTTTCTCTTCATCTTCACTCACCCATTCTTCAGGTCTTAGCTGTTTAGTCACCCCTTCCTCATGGAAGCCTTCCCTGACCCTACCCAGCTGGGTTATGGGCTCCTTTCAAGGGCCCCTGAGATCTCCTGATCTTAGCATGTTAGCTCTTATCACACACAGCAGGAATTGTTTACTGACTCATCTGTCTTCCCCACTAGACTTTAAGCTCCGTAGGACAGGGGTTGTGTCTGTAGATTCACCACTCTCTCTCCAGCACCAGGCACAGTGCCGAGCACATAGTAGGGCGGATAGGGTGAAAAAAAGTGGGGTCGGCAGGGAGACATGCCATAGAGATGTCAGGGAGGACCATTACACATCCACTGGGCTGGCAGTTAGGAGGTGATTGCTAACGCTGGTGAGTGCAGTTTTCAAGTGCCCGAAGAATATATGGGATATTATATGCAAAACGCCTAGCCCCGTACCTAGCAATTACTATTGTTGTCAAAATTAAAGTAACAGTCTGGGTGTGGTGGCTCATGCCTGTCATCCGAGCACTTTGAGAGGCTGAGGCAGGAGGATCACTTGAGATCAGAAGTTCAAGACCAGCCTGGGCAACATAGTGAAACCCCATCTCTGCCAACAGCAACAATAACAACAACAATAAAGTAACAAGGAAAAGGCCATGACCTCTGAGGCTAACTGTAGGAGAGGGGAAGAGATTTCCCACAATCCTCACCTTAAAGCTGGACTTCCACAGGTGGGTTTGTACTGGGATAAAAATTTCTTCTGCAGAGACTGCTGCAGGGTGGGAACAGGAGTGGTATGCTGTGGTGTATCAGTAGGCCAGGTTAGCCGACGCTGTGGTAATGGGAAAAACCCCAATCTCCAAATGCCCCACTGTCTGTACAGTGTGGGTTGGTGGAGGGGGGCTCTCAGGGCCTCAGACTGACAGAAACTTTATCCCCACACAGGCTTCCACAGTGGCAGAGGCAGGGACGAGAGATCTGGGAGGGTTTCCCACCAGCAAGTCGATGTTTCAGCCCAGAAGTGAGCACCACTTTCCTCCTGCTTACAAGTCATTGGCTGGAATTAGTCACATGGCCTCATCCAATAGGGAGGGCCTAAGTCTAGGATGTGCAATCCCACATGTGCCCAGGTTGGGGAGAACCACCTTGATGAGTCCTTTTAGTAATGCAAGAACCAAGACCCTCTTCTGGACCAGTTTGGAGGTGCCACATCTCCAAGGACCTCAAGGAGCTTGGAATTGTGGAGGGTCCTTTTAAAGTGGGCATTGTTGCCTCTCTGCCGAGTATGTTTCTTTCATAAAAGTTTAGGTGCACTAGTCCTGAAAATGACTTATTATCCTCAAGAGTGTGTGTGTGTATGTGTGTGTGTGTGTTGTCTCCCAAGCAGTGGCTCCCAGGAGGGGTCGGGGATGGGACACTGGCCAGAGGGATGTGTAAACACCCCCTTGTCTTAAGCAGGAAGTGGCTGTAAGGACAGGACTGAGCTGGGCTTTGACAGCCCATATATGGTGTTATTCCCAAAGAAGTGAATCCCATATTCTGGAAAACAGTGAGGTCTCTGAATTCTGAGTTCTGAGAGCTTGGCCATTCTGGGTAAGGGGTGGGGTTTTCCTGGGGGAGTTGGACATTCCATTGTCAATCATCCCGGGGAAGGGCAAATCCCAGCATAGAGGCTGGGCACGGTGGCTCATGCCTGTAATCCTAGCACTCTGGGAGGCCAGAGGTGGGAGGATCACTCTGGGTCAGGAGTTCGAGACCAGCCTGAGCAAGAGCAAGACCCCATCTCCACTAAAAATAGAAAAAAAAATTAGCCAGGTGTGGTCAGGCATCATTGTGCTGACCTATAGTCCCAGCTACTTGGGAGGCTGAGGTAGGAGGATCACTTGAGCCCAGGAGTTTGAGGTTGCTGGAGCTAGGCTGACACCACAGCACTCTAGCTTGGGCAACAGAGTAAGATGCTGTCTCCAGAAAAAAAAAAAAAAAAAAATCCCAGCACAGGAAATGAAGGAGTGAGATGAGGGGAGAGGGGTGGGCATTGGGCCCTGGTGGAGAGAGTTGCAGCAAACACAGGGAGGAGGCTGGAAGGCTCCCAGAACAGCCTGGGTCTGTGGACTCTGAGAGTACCTGAACCTGGGTTCTGCCTGTAGGCTTCTCTGGGTAGTAATTTCCAGCCTTCAGTGAAGGCTCACCAAAGGTCATAGACTTGGAGAAAATTAAGGACCTATGCCACAATCAAGTTCAAAGAAGTCATGGGGAGAGCAGCCTCGCTGCATTCCCCAGGCCTGCGTGGAGGGGACAACCTGAGGGCAGAGGAGGAAGCTGCTCCGGGAACCCCAGGAAATGGCAGGAAGCAAAGCGAGGGCTTGATCCAAATGATGTGGCTACGTAAGCTTGGTACTCAAGCACTCCTGAGCAGCTTCCAAAAGATCAGAGCTCCAGGGACTCCTGCCCGAGCCTGGGGGTGGACACTACAACCTTTCAGTCTTTGCAGCTTTGGGTCACCTGTTCACCTTCTGATCTTTCCATGGTGTCTAGGGGAGCTGGTGGGGAAACAGAGGCAGAAACGCAGGCTCTTATCCGAATTCAATCACTGACTGAGCATTCTCCTCTCTCCACCCTTGTACCTGGCCTCCCTCCTCTGCCCACTGGGACTAGCTGTTCCTACAGCAGAGCGGCCTCCTACCTCTTCCGACCCTGCACACCACCACCCCTTGCCCCGCTTCGCCCCCACCCAGGGCCCCCGCCCAGTCCTCTAAGAAGCTGTTTTGGATCCATCCAGTCTACTCGGGTCTCTTCCTTCATCTCCCTCTCTGGACCTCAATTGTGTGTCTATGACCATCCCTAGGATGGGGCCATGCCTGAGAGCAGGGGCCGTTGTGTCCTCTGTAAATCTTCACTTAAACCTCCAAGTCCCCGCAGCTCGCTTTGTCCACCTAGGGGTCAGCTGGATGACGCCATTATCCATTCAGATCAGACAGGCGTTGCTAAGGGGTGGGGAGGGTGGAGGTGGACGCAGCACGTACAAACTGGGAGCTGTTTATTGGTCACTGTGAGAAGCCTATGTACAAAGAAGGCACAAGGAGGGGGAGGGCGCCCCCTGCTACAGTACCATGGAAGAGGGTAGAGGCTGGGAGTAGGTTGCCAATGGGTCAGGAGAGGTTTTCTGGAACCAGCCTCAACTTCTAGAAGGGGTCTTAGGACTCAGCCCATGATGGAAGGGCAGAGCCAGGTTGGCTCTGAAAGCCAGGGCTAGCCAAGAACTCCAGCTCTAGGCCCCCAGCCCATGGTCAGTGGGGGCAGAGTGGGGTCTGGCCAGATGGGGCAGGGACAGGGCTCCCTCCCTGCTCTACATTCAAGCGTCGCTCCCTCCGTGGTCTCGTAGGGTCCCTCCAGGCCCTTCTCGGCTGGCTGGTAGTGGGGAGTCAGCAGTAGCATCTCTTCTGTGTCCTTCCAACGTCTGCTTGGCCCAGGATTGGTCCCCTCCTCTCTCTGGAGGATCCCACTGTGCTCCAGGGCAGTCCCATCCAGCACAGTGTGTCCAGGCTATCTGGCGGCGTGTCTGTCTTTGTCCTTTCAGGCTGCGTTCCCTGCTAGTTCAGTCTGTGGCCAAGGAGAGAGGCTTCCCAGAGATCCATCAAAGAAAGCCATTCTGGGACCTTCTTTCTAGTTCATTTGCTCTTGGGTCTGAGCACTCCAGGTCCTGCAAATGCTTCCTGGACGAATTTAGGCAGGACCCCCAGCTCTCTGGCCTGGGTTTTGGGGAGCTGCACCCGGGGGCCCAGTGGGCTGCTCCCTGTCAGTAGTTTTACTCCCAACAGCAAAGTCGATCCAGTGACTGTGGCTCAAGTTGGATCCAGTGTGAAACGGGCAGGTGTCACCACATGGGGGTCTTTTCCTCCTGGCTCTGGTGGAGGCCCTTTGGCTTGGTTTTGGCACAGGCGGTGCTGGGACGTGGCATGTCCACGCACCATCCATGATGCACAAGCACAGTCCACGAGCAGTGGGCCCATGTGTGTCTGGGACTCAGGGCTGCAGTGTGCTGGGCATTGCGAGGTCCACGGCTCCAGCCCCCCTGCAGAGAGATGCCGGTGGCCAGACAGCACGTGCATGCGCTTGAAGAGGTGTGTGTGCCTGAGCTTGCTGGCGCCAGCCAAGGCAGTGGTCCCTGTGGACTGTCAGTGGCATAACTTATGATAAATAGGAAGAAAGGGGAGATGGGGGCAGGGGAGGAGGGTGGGATCTGGGACGATGTCAGTAGTATCGGTCTCGAGTCTGCCAGCTGGTCACCCAGTGTTTCTTGGTGGGCAGCGTGCTCCCTGGAGGTGGGTAGCGCTCCTCCTCGCGGATCCGCACCGCGTGGTACTTGGGCATGATCCGGTAATAGTGAGTCCGCTTAAAGAAGTCACACTGGTGTTGGGGGAGAAGACAACATGCGTCAGCATCCAGCCTTCGGGCCAGTGGGAAGAAGCGCCAGCCTCTTCCTCCTACACCCAGAAGTCCTTGAAGCCAGGACCCCTGACTGCAACACGCCCATCTCCCTGCACTGAACCGGGGAGGGTGAGGTTCCCCACCCAGGCTCCAGAGGAAGGAGGAGTCGAGGAAGGCAGAGGTGAGAGGAAGAGGCAGATGGAGACCGAGGGGCAGCTGCAGAGACAGGTGACGGATTGGCCAGGAGGGGTGGGGGTTGTCAGTTTGTCATCCCAGAGGGGTGGGTGCTCAGGAGGAAAAGTGCTGGTTCCCTGGAGCAGGTTCTCTGCTAGTCCCCCCCCCAGGTGGGAACAGAGGGGGGAATCATTCTGGATGCGCCCTGTGGCCTACAGAGATGGGGCGCAGCCTTGGCCTTGACCCTGTCCCAATCCCCAGAGTCATCACGGGGAGGGTTTTATGGCTTCCTCTTGGGGTCCCAAGTGCCTGAGGGGTCCATGGGGAGGCAGGTGAGAGCTTGACCAGGGGGCTGGCGGGGGTCAGACAGTGTGGCCCACTCATTGACGTCAGGGGACAGGGTGAGGTCAGAGCGGACCCGGAGGGAAGAGGAGCAGACAGGACAGAGTCAGGCCCCGGCCAGCCATGGGGCTCGGGGAAGAGGGCCCGGAGGCCGTGTTACCCGGGTGGGCTGGGGGCGGGGGGCTGCCCCCCTCAGTAGTCGTCGGTCAGCCTCTCTGTCTCTGATGGCTGGCTCTTCATCTCCGCCTTCTGCCTCTTAGCTTCATACAGGGCGCGAGTGCGGGCTCGCTTGAAGAAGCCGCACTGCGGAGGGGAGCAGGTGGGGGCCATCAGGGGGGTGTGGGGCATCCTCGCCAGCAGCACTCATGGGCTGGGGCTTGGGGCGGGGGAGCCTGGGTGCTGGGGTCCCAGCCCCAGCTTGGTGGTGCGGCCAGAAGCCAGGGCTCCCGGGCCCCCCTTTCCACTAACCCAGGAAGGGCTGGACGCTGGGGAGGTGGGAGGAGTTGGGGGGTGAGATGGAATGAGGAACGGGATGGGGAGGTGCAGGAGGGAGAGTGTGCTGGCAGGAGGCCCCGGGGTGGGGGTCCCAGGGCGGGCTGGGTGCTAACCTTCCACAGCAGGAGGGTGACCAGGCCCAGCAGCAACAGCCCCGCACCCACGGCCACAAGCACCAGCCACAGCTCGATCTCGGCAGGCAGCTCTTCCACCAGGTCGGAGTCAATGTCCACAGAGAACTGGAGAGGGGAGGGAAGGGCTCAGTCCTGTGTCTGTGCCCTCAGGCCCTGTACTCACTTGTCCCAGGGCCCCGCTGTTTCACCTACTGCCAGTAGGGGGCAGCCAGGGACTGGGAAAGCCCCTGCCTGCCCCGTGACATCAGCAGGTCCATCGTCCTCCTGCTTCTGCTGTGCACAGACTTGGCTCCAGAGCAGTAGCAGCCCAGAGACTGGGTCTGTGACCCACACATCTGAGCTTGGATACCAGCTCCATCCCTGACAAGCTGTGTGACCTTGGACAGGTAATTTCGCCTCTCTGAATCTCCCATTTCATGCCCTCTGACGAGGCGATCACAATGCCTACCTCAGAATGGCCAAAAGCATGGGGTCAGGAGCCTGACTACTTGGGTTCAAGTCCAGCTGTGCTATCCACTAGCTGTGTGACTTTGGTCAAGTTACTTAACCTCTCTGTTGTTCATCTATAAAATGGGAATTATGATAATAATACCTACTGCTTGGTTGCTGGGGAGGATTCAATGTGTTTATTAACATGTGTAAACTGCTTAGAGCAACACCTGCTACACAGCAAGCACTCCATAACTATTTACCAAAACACCAAAGAATGCATAGCATATAGTACCATTCTTTTTCTTCCCCTACAATGGAGATGTATGTGTATGTGTATAAGTTTTTTTCTGACTACATATGATTTTCACTTCTGTTAGAATTATCTCGATGATTATTTTTTAAAAAATGTGGATGATATAAAGAAAATGAAAGGTTCCCAGTAATTTTACTCTCCAGAAATATCTCCATAATCTCTATTGAGTCTCTTTCCACATTTTGGTGAATCTTTCTGTATTTTTAAATACATATGAGTCATATAAATAGGATCATACTACATACGCTTTTCAGCAACTTATTTCTTTCTTCACTTGGTGTCATCACCTGTCCGTGTCAATTGATAAAGATGAACCTGATCTCTTCTAAGGGCTACAGAGTCAGTGCAGGAAATGTAGCATAATTTATTGAACCACTCTCCTACTGAAAGACATTTAGATTGTTTCCAATTTTCTGCCATTATAAATAATCCTTTAAAATATTCCCATATATTATCTTTGCATACTTATCCTATTAGCTCCTTATGATATATTCTCATGTGCTAGATCAAAGGAAATGGTCATTTTAAATTTTAATAGATTTTGACAACTTCATCTCCAAAAGGAATCTACCAATTTATACTCCAATCGATAGCATTTCCCTCCAGCTCATCGGCATCAGACAGCACTATTCTTTTTAATATTTTCCAATCTGATAGACAAAAAAAAAAATCTTTCTGCTGTTATTTATATTTCTTTATGATTAACTTGTATAGAGATAGGGTCTTTCTATGTTGCCCAAGCTGGTCTGAAACTCCTGGCTTCAAGTGATCCTCCCACCTTGGCCTTTCCAAAGTACTGGGATTACTGGTGTGAGCCACCACGCCTGGCCCTAGAGAATAATTTAATAGTAATTTTTCTTTTTGTTGAGGTATGATAATACCTACCTCTTAGGTTGCTGGGGAGGATTCAATGTGTTTAACATGTGAAAACTGCTTAGAGCAACACCTGCTACACAGCAAGCACTCCATAACTATTTACCAAAACACCAAAGAATGCATAAGCATTGTACATTGCCTGTTTATGCCTTTTATCTTTATATATTAAAAAAATATGTGTCAATACTTTGTCATATATGGTATAAAATTTTTAAAAAGTATATTATTTGTCCTTTTAGTTTTTTTACCAGCTTGCTGTACACAGATTTAAATTTTCACATAGTCTAAATGATCACATTTTTCCTTTGTGACTTCTGGGTTTAATAAAATAACTTACTCTTCCCATAGTTAATGATTACTATTGGCCAGGTATGGTGGTCACACCTGTAATCCTAGCACTTTGGGAGGCTGAGGTGGAAGGATTGCTTGAGGCCAACCTGAGCAAGAGCGAGACTGCATCTCTACAAAAAATACAAAAATTAGCCAGGTATGGTGGCATGCGCCTATAGTCACAGCTACTTGGAGGCTGAGGCAGGAGGATCGTTTGAGCCTAAGAGTTTGAGGTTACAGTGAGCTATGATGGTGCCACTACACTCCAGCCTGGGTGACAGAGCAAGACCCTGTCTCTAAAAATAAAACAAAATTTTAAAAAATTATAAATTATTCCTTATATATTATTCTAGCATGTTAGGTTTTAATTCCTATATTTAAAAATTTAACTTTAATATATTTTTGTTTATGGTATGAAGTAGGAATTTATCTTTATTTTACAAACATATTCTCCCAATACTACTTAATAATTTGCCTTTTTCCCCTGATTAAAAATGCCATCTGTATCATAAACTAAATTTCTATTTCGTTCCATTGATCTTTCTGGCCCATCCTCTACCTCTTCTATACTACATTATCTTAGGAAATGTACAATAATGTATTTAAATCAATGGTCCATTCATTTCTCCATATACATCTCCTACACATCTCCACTTAAAGATGTGGGGGGGTCTCATATCATATTTATTCTTCCAGATATAACTCAAAATCAAGTCTGGGAATTTTTTTTCAAGTTTCTTGAATTCTACTGGGACTGGAATGATTTGGGAAGATCTGTCAACTTGATAATACACTATTGACTTTTTTCCATCTATTATTCAATTTTGTGTTGTACATTTATTGTTATGTTTATTCCTAGAAGGTGTATAACTTTTCTGATGAGTTTGAATAGGATATTTTCAATTATATTTTTCATTGGTTATTATGAGCAGGTAGGAAACCTATGGGCTTCAGTATTTTGATCTTGTTTTGAGCCTCCTCGACCTGTGGAATTCTTTTATTGGGGCGAATAGCTTTTTGGCTTCTTCTCTATTCTTCCCTGTAGACAATCGCATCATCTGCAAATATTGATCAAGTTCTCATGGTTGAAGCTCTGTTTTGTCTTATTGTCCTGCCCCTGTCTCTTTACGGCCTGTGGCCAGAAGCTGACATGTCCATAGTAGATGTGTCAGTGGGTGAGAAAGGAGGCCCAGGTTCCCGCCCCTGACAAGCTGTGCCACTTTGGACAGGTCACCCAATTTCTGTGGGCCATCGGTTTCCTGCTCTACTCTTCATGGAGATGTTGTACAGATCAAATAAGCTAAAGCAGTGGTTCTCAGGCCTGGCCACGCAGTAGAGTCACCTGTGGGTACTCTGAACCAGACCAGTGCCAGGGTCCCACTCCTAGGGACTCGTATCGAATTGCTCTGGGTGTGGTCCAGCCACCAGAAGTCCTCTGGATGATTTTAACATGCTGCCACACGTTCATTGGGCAACACATAGCTAAAGTGTGTCCATATGCTCCTAAAAGGTGCCCTGCACTCCCGTGCCCCGGCCAGAGACTGCTGTCCTAGTTAACATGCCACTCACCCATGTGGTCTTGTTCTCCATGCTGATGGTGGGGACGCCGCTTCGGAGGAACAGGGTAGCCCAGCCATCTACCCTGACTCGGTCAAAGTCCCTGTAATCCTGGAGGGTGACAAGAGGTGGGTCAAAAGAAGCAGCTGAAGCCCCTTTGAGCCCCCTCCTGACCCTAAGCCCCCCTACCCTGTCGCCCTCCCACCAGGCAGCATCCTTAAGCAGCACCCCCAAAGGATCTGTTAGCCAGGCCTCTCCTTCTCACACATATGCACATCATTCATTCGTTTTTCAATCATTTGTGCATCAGGTCCTGTGCTTGATACTGGGGACAGCAGAGACAGTGAAGGTCACAGTCTAGGTCAGGCCCCTGGGCTAAATCAGACCCAACACCTGCTTTTGTAAATAAAGTATTTTTGGCACACGGCCACGCCCATTCATTTGTCTAAGGCAGCTTTTGTGCTGCAGCGGCAGAACTCAGTAGCTGCAACAGAAACCCTGTGGCCCACAGAACTGAAAAGATTTAGCATCTAGTCACGTGCAGAAAAAGTTTGGTCTAGATGGCATGAGAAGGTTGGCACGTGAGTAAACTGTAACTCGGAGTCAAGCGTGACAAATGGCATGTGTGGCTTTTGAGAAAGTGCTATGGGTGTCCAGAGGAAGGGAGGTCATTTTTAGCTGAAAAGTCAGAGAAGACCTTACTGACAGTGACACATCTCGTGGAAACCTTGAAGGCCGAATAGGAGTTTACACGCAGAGATAGAAGAGTGGAAATTGGCATTCCGGGGGGAAGGAACAGCCTGGGCACAGCGTGGAGGTGGGAAAGTGAGGGACGCGTAACAGAATAGTGGACACATGAGAGAAGGTCACTTTGGCTGGAGACAAACACATACACATCCACACCAGAGACTCAAACATAACACTGATGTGGCACACGGGGACAGGAGTACGACCACGCATAAAACGCGATGCTGTCTCTCTTTCTCACACACACACACACACACACACACACACACACACACACACACACACACACAGCCCTGCTGTGCCCCTGGCCTCGCCCTGTCCCTGCAGTTCCCCCCAGCAGGGCTGCTGGCAGTGGAGACCTCCGGACCTGGGCACTGACCTCAATAAAGGTGCTGTTCCACACCCGCGCCTTCACGGTCACATTGGTGACAACGGGAGCATCAGGAATGGGGCACTCCAGCCACACGCAGCGGGCACGGCCAGTGGCACAGTTCTGAGGCAGGCAGGGAACAGACACGGGATAGTCTGGGCTCCGGATTCTGCATGGAGAATCCTTCCCTTCGACCCCTCCCAGACTTTGTTTCACCCTTGGGTGACTCGAGGGGCCTGACCTCATCCCTTCACTCATGTACACGCCCCCAGCCCTGTACTTACACTTCTCAGACACATCCTTTGGGCCGGGCTCCTATAATGCCAGGCACACGGATAACATGGAATCTGGTCCCTGCTCACATAAACGAGGCCCAGCCTTGGACACCCCTTCCCAGCCCACTGCCACACGGAGTCTTTGTTCATGCCAGCTCCCTGCCTGGGACACCACCTCCTACCTCCCCACCCCGCTAGGCCTCCACTTGCTCTCCAGGCCTGCTCCTCCCTCCCTGCAGAGGGCGCCCCATGCCACCTGTGATGCCCTCCCCATTCCCCCACCCTGAGGGCCGAGGCTTTGAGCAGCTTTATCCCCCTAACAGCTTGGGGCTCCTTGGAGTAGAGCCAGTGTCCCCTCCTTTGGTCCTCTGTGTTGGATGCTCCCCAGCAGAGTGGGGCACCCTCTGAGGGCAGGGTATGAGTTTCCCCACTGTGTAGAGGCTCCTGAGGGCGGGGCCACATCACCTCGTCAGACAGGGGTCTCCTGGTGAGGGGTTCCTATGCCCCTTGCTTCATGCGCCCCCTGGTGCCCACATGCCTGTGCTGGGGTGGGCACACTTCCCTCTAACTCCTCCTGGCCACTCACCAGCATAGTCTCAGACTTGGCTTTTTTGGCAGCAGCCAGAGTGACAGGTGGGGGGCCTTGGCCTCCCCCTGGGTCTAGCTGTCGCCGCCTGCGCTGTGGAGATGGCGGCCTGTCCCCAGGCTCCTGGAGAGGAAAGAGCAAATCTGCTGGGAGGGCGGAGGAAGAAGTGGCAGCAGGGGCGGGGGAGGGGAGAGGGTAGGGAGAGTCAGGTTGCCTGCCAAAGGGGAGAAAGGGGAAGACACTGCCTTTCTGCCCTGTAGCGTGCAAATGAGATGCATATAAAAGGTTCCTGATGGCTTACAGAGAGAGTGAGGTTGAGAGGGTTGACAAGGTCTCTGGGTGGCAGGCAGGGCCAGGACCCATTGCCATGGACGGTGATCTCCGTGGGGTACAGCAGCCACTTGCCATTGGTGACTTCATAGGGCCACTCCAGACCTAGGACCAGGGTCCCTAGGGCTGCCAGCCCCTCCCCCATTGGGCCCACCTGTGGGTATAAGAGGTCATGGTTATTGTCTCCTGAAAAACCACCTCCATCTCACCGATCCCCAATCCTCCTGCCCTCAGACCTCAGAGCCAAGAAAAACAAAAACAAAAACAAAAAGACAAAACCATTGTTCTTCCTAGAAGTCCCCAGCCTAGGACCCCAGAGGTCCCCTTACCTGGAATTCATACTTGAGGGGGCTTCCCACATCCTCTACAGTTTTCATGCCAGACTCGCCCATCACTGTCCCCCCAAAGAAGCTTTGTAGCCGGTGATTTACCCTAGGGGTCAGGAAGATGCTGGAGTCACAGAGGGACAGGAGACAGGGTCCTGGCAGAGGGGGTGGGTGCCAAAGCTGGTTAACTACAGCTCCTCTGAGATCAGGCAGACTTGTATAAACCCCAGCTCTGCCATTTACCAGCTACATGGCCTCAAGCAATCCATTTATCCTCTCTGAGCCTCAGTTTCCTCATCTGTAAAATGGAGTTAACAATAGTTGCTACATCATCTTTGGATGATGAGCTCTGAAGAAATGGTAGGGACCAACACCTCAGCCCCAGGGTGGCCAATTCCTCCACTTCTACCTGCTTTACAGGGGAAAAATAATAATAATAATGATAGCGATTGCTCTTGTTAAGGGGAGGAATGACCCAGGGGAGGTGGGGGCCTGAGGATACCAGGCCAAGAGAGGTGTCAGGGGAGCTGGGGAGATACCCTGGGGCAGGAAGGCACTAGCTCAGCACAGCAGGCTGGGGGTGGGAGGTGGGGCAGAGAGAGGTACCCACATGCTGAGTGAGGCCTGGAGTGTGTAGTCCACCAAAAGTGTCAGGGTCATGGGCTGCAGGTTGTCCTGGTGACTTGACCTGGGGAAGGAATGCAGGGCGTAGGAGGGAGACCCAGAACACCTCGGCCTCGACTCAGATTGGTTCTTGATGTCACTCACGTGGAGAGCTGCAGCTGCACCTGAAGGTCCCTTGTGTTCAGAGTCACCCCAATGACCTCAAAGGCGATGAGCAGCTCCATCTGCCACGAGGGTCAGGAAGGCAGAGAGGGGTGTTTGGAGTCCAGCAGGGGTGATGTCATGAGGGAGAGAGGGACTAAACACTGCACTAGGGACTTAGTTCTCTGGCCTCTTCCTCTTCCTCTTCTGGGTGAGTGGTCTCCACCTCCCCACCTCATCTCTGTCTCCTTTCCCCCCTTTTTCTCCCTTGGGTCACATCTCTGCTACTTTTGAGCTATATGACATTGACCTTGAGCAAGTTACTGAAACTTTCTAAGTCTGTATTTCCTCTTCTGTAAAATAGCATCTACCTCCTCTGATGGTTGTGTGAATTACATCATATAAAAGAAGCAGTTTGGGGCTGAGGGCCTGGCACCCAGTTGGTGCTTAGTAAAATTGGTTTCCTTGCCTCCACTTGCTCTGGCTTTGTGCACAGCGCCCTGGCGGCCCCATTTTTCTTAGTCTCAGGGCCTTTTCCCACCTTCTACTGGATCTCTGCCTTCCCTACTCTGGCTCTTGGCTTCAAGGAAGCCTGGGAAGCAGGCAGGCAGAAGCAGGAAGGATAAGGAGCTGGTCGGAGGAACAGTCTGGGACACCCCAGGACTGGGAGGATGTGGCCAGTGCTCACCCTCTGGTTCCGTTTGAAGGGGTTCCCCAGCTCACAGAGGATGGTCTCGTTAGCCTGGCAGGCCCCGGGCTGAGCAAAAAGGACGATTTAGGTCAGGGTTGGGTCAGAGTGAGGCTTGTCTTCCCTGCCTGCAGTGCAGGGTCTGAAGCCCTAGGCTCCCCCAAAGAGCAGAGCAGCCGCAGGGCCCAATCAAGAGGAGGGGGCACAGGGCAAATGACAACACACGTACATGACAGGCATACTGGGATGCGAACACTTGGTGGAGCCCTACTCGGGCTCTGAGCCGGCTGGTGGGCACTCACCGGGCGCACGGAGGACAGCAGCAGCTCGGGAGGCACCGCCAGGGTGAGCAGCGCCTCGTGGGCGTCCTCCCCGGCGCGCTCCGGGCTCCGGGCGTTGGTCACGTTGATGCTCAGGAGCAGTTTCCGGACGTCTCTGCTGTACTGGAGCCTGGGTGGAGTGGCCTGGGACTCAGCCAAAAGCCCCGTCCCCGGGTGTGCCCCCGATCAACGAGGCTCCGCCCCTCGGGCCTCCTAGGTTAGAAAAGTCCCTTCTCGGGATAGCCATGCCCCGCCCTCTAGTCTCACCTGGAGGAGAAAGCCCCTTTTCTGGCCATCCTACCTGACCCATTAAAGCCCCTGCCCTCAAACTCGCTTCGCATGAGGCCCCGCCCCTGGCCGGTGAGGCCCGCCCCCAAACCCTGCTAGCCAATGAAGCCCCGCCCTGCGTTGGCCAATCAGCGCGGCCCAGCGCCCACCTGCTCAGCCTCTGCAGTTGCTCCGACACGAAGGCCGCGCGCATCTGCAAGTTGCTCTCGCACTTGTTGTCCGGCCCGCACTCCTTCTGGAAATGGACCTGGGGGTGGCCGGAGGCGTGAAGGGCCGCACCACCCGCGGTGCCCTCTCGCCCCACAGCCCTCCAGGCCCCCGCCTTTCAGGCCCCGGCTCCGCCCTCACCCACCTCAGTGTGGTTCTCCAGTGCCTGCGCCTGGTTGAGGACTGGGTAGGCGTCCAGAGACCGCAGCCCCAGCCGGGGGCGATCGGGCATCCGCAAAGGTAAAGAGTAGTTCATGGAGATGATGATGGGACGGAGTTTGTCACGGACGTTGTCCTAGGAAGGGAGGGCGAACTAAGCCCAGCCCTGCACAGCATCCCCGACCCCAGTGAAATCTTCACACCACTCTGAACCCCAGGGAGGACCTGGGGTCCCCCCACACTGAAAACCCCACAGTTAGGCTGAACCCATTCTAATCTGAACCCCAAATTGAGACTTCCTATGATCTTGACCCCCTAAGAGATAGGGCTTCTCCTCCCCAGGGGTCCCTGGGGAAGGGGGTTCAGCCTCCTCGTCCACAGGGTCCCCAGGTTGAGCTCTCCCCTTCCACCCTGATGTCCCAGAGAGGGACTGAGCTTATCCCCACTCAGGGACCCTTTTTTCTCAGAGGTGAGCTGAGCTAAGGGCTCCCACATCCCTCACTTTTCTCAGAGGTGCTAAGCCCTCTGGCCCCATCCCCTCCCCAAGGGTCTCCATCTCTCCTACGGTGTGCTGAATGCTGTGCATGGTTCCCCTACGCACCCATGGCCTTCGGGCTGACTTTCCCAATCTCTGTCTCTGGGAGGACTCCAGTCCCTCACTCTTGACCTGGGAGGACATTGGGCACCTCCTGCAGTGATCCTGGAGCCCTCATCTTGCCCCTTGGCCCACCCTCACCATCAGGAGCAGCTCCAGCTTCTGGCAGCGCATCTCAGGCATGGAGAAGAAGCCGTGGAAGACAGCTGACTGGCTGCGGGCGAAGCGTAGCCGGGGCGGCCTGCGGTCCCGGTCAGCCTCCAGGGTGTAGGCCAGGGCTGCAGGTAGACAGGTGGTCAGCAAGTGGCAAGATGGGCATGCTCCCCCTCACCCCACACCCCGGCACTCACTGATGTTCCGCCTGTAGTTGGGGTTCCCGGCACTTTGATTGTAAGCAAAGCACAGCTCCACCTGCACGCTATTGGGGGGACATACAGGAGGGCCCGGTCACAACGGAACACAGTTATCCAGGCCCTAGCTTTCACCCCCAAAACCATGCAAAGGGAAACCAGGCCCTTCTGGAGACAGGCAGGGGCAAAACTGGAGAGTCCACAGAGCTGGTCTGTGGTGTCCCTGGCTCCTTCCCTCCCACTCCCATTAAAGCCATCAAAAACAGTTAAAGGTCACCAGTGGGGAAACTGAGGTATAGAAAAGGACTTGTCTGAAGTCATCAGTCAATGAGTGGCCCAGCCTAGTCTTAAACCCAGGTCTCCCGGTCCCCAGTCCAGATCTCCTTCCCCACCCACCCCACTGCTTCCCTGCTCTGTCTCCCTCTGCCTTCTGACCCAATATCTTTGTTCACATAAAGACTTTGGGGTCATCACCATCATTATTGTCACTTTCTTAGCAACTAACATTTTTCGAGCACTTAAGGCATACAGACTATTGTGCTAAGGACATTTTGTATGTTACCTCATTTAATTATCACAACAACCCTGAGAATTGGTTATTACCAATTCTGTTTTACAGCCAAGCAGTCTGAGACTAAGTGAGATTAACAATGTGCCCAAGGTGACTCTCCTTCCCTACATCGGTCCATTTAAACGCATCCCCCTTCCCTCTTCCTCTGCAACCTCACTTTCCCTGAGCCTGGCCCCGCCCCCGCCCCTACAATGGCATAGCTGGGATTTGAACAAGGCAGCCCAGATCTCTCACTCTGAACCACTACACTCTACGGTCCCCCAATTCATCCATTACCCTTGCAAGGAATTCTGTTTTTTAATGAGGTTGGGTAGCGAGGGCAAACACTGACCTCAAGTATCAACTCTCTAAAGGCAGGATACCAGGAGTTGCCAGGGAAGGGGTTTGGGAGCTGGAGGCCCTCCTGGCCTTCCCATAAATGAGGAGTAGGCGGGCAGAGTAGGGGCTGATAATCTCACCAGGAGGAGGCTGTGCAAAGTGCAGGGTCCAGCACAGCTGGCCTGGCCACCAAGGTCCTGTGGACGATGTTAATGACAGGCCGGGCCCTGCAGAGACAACAGAGCCAGACACAGATCAGTGCCTCCTGCCTGCCCGAGGCCAGGCTGGGGCTCAGGCTTCTGTAGTCCTGGTGCGGAAGATGGACAGCGATGGGGCTCCATGCAGACGTGGACGGAGAAGAGAAAGGCCCCCATCCATCGCCCCCCGGCTCACCGCAGCAGCACGATGCGGTCTGACAGGCTCCCCACTAGCAGGTCTGGGTAGAAGTTCTCATCTACGTCCATCTGCCCACTCAGGGAGTAGCCGAAGGTGGCCAAGCCAGGCAGTCCTAGATTCTCTCCGTGGATTACCTGGGGACAGGGGTCAGTGGTGGGGGTAGGCTCTGAGGAGTGGGGCCTTGGGGAGCAGGGAAGGGGGGGTGAGGGAAGGAGGGAAGGCCCACCCCAGCTGTCAGAGGCAGCTGACTGAACCCCGTCCATCCATACCTGCTGGGGCTGTCTGAGGAGCCCCCTGGAGCTGCTGTGGTAGATGTACACTCTGCCCAAGCCCTCGAAGGGGGCTCCCACAGCAATGTCTGGGGAAAGAAGGCAGGCCCAGGTCACCCAGGGGCTCTGGGCCCCACATCTCCCTAACCCTGTGCTCCAGGCCATAGAGCCCAGTATGGCGTCGACCTCACCCTGCCACGTATTGCTCTGAGCATCAGGCAGAGGGCAGAGCTGTGTGGCTCAGGATCAACACTGGGGACTCCTTTCATAGGTGGGAAGCAGAGTTCAGGAGAGGGGAGGAGACCTCCCCAAAGTAACACAGCAAGTTAATGCCACAGGCAGGCCTACACCCCAGATTCCTGACCGGCCTGGGGTTTTGCCCTGGTTACGGTGCCTTCCATCTCCCCCACCAACCTCCTCCCCGACACCCTGGCTCTTCTAATGGCGTTACCAGGAGGGGCAGAGAAGGAGGTTTCTCCATTGGTGACCCTGCCAGTGCGTTATCAAGCATTCACCTCGTTTAATCCTCACAAGAGTGCCGTGGGGTAGGTACTACTGTCCCCACTTTACAGATGAGGGAACAGACTCAGAAAATCCAGAGTCAGACAACCAAAGAGTAGAGAAGAAGATATTTGGGCCCATGTCTGTCTAACACCAGGGGCTGGGACTTTAATCATCACACTATAGTGCACCTTACTGAAAGTCGAGACTTTAAGAATTCTAACCATGAATAAATCTAAAACATTTTATTATCTTCCTGAACTTTCCTGAACTCTTTCTGGTTTGCTGCTTTTGATCTGATAAGGCCTAGGTAATCAGATAGCCGAGCTTGTTAGTAAAGTGTGTAAAGGAAGAGTTAGTAGGTCCTGACTATTCTGTAGTAAGTGCTTGGTCTTTGTTGACTGAACTTTCTGGCACCTATGTGGGTCTTCAGAGGCGCCTCTGCCTTTCTCTTGCATCTCAGCTATGTCCTGGGATGTTGAGGTTGTCAGAGAAGTGACTTCCAGATAAGGCAGGTGCTTCTGTGGCACCCAGGCTCAACCGCTGGGTCTGTCCCTCTCCCTGGCACTGCAGATTGGTCCCCAAGTCCTGCAGAACACTAGTGATGACCCCTCTATCCAGTGCTGCCACCTTGTCCCAGCCCTTATCATCTCACACCTGAGATGCTACATGCATGGTCTTAATTCCCCAGCCTTGCTCCAGCTTTGGGCACGTCAGGCAAGTTCCCCTGCCTGCGCAGTGCCCTTCTGCTCCTGCCCATGGAGCGTTCTCGGCGCAGCCTGGGTGGCACGGCAGCGTGCCAGCTGCTTCAGGGGGCCCCCTGAGCTCGCCTCTGCTGCCCCCTCTGCACACTCTCTCTCCAGCACTGCTTTGCACTCCCTGAGCCTGGCCCCATCCAGTCTCCTCTGTGGGCCCTGTCTAGCCTGGTATGCAGCTGGCGCTTAGTCAGTGGGGGTGCTAGGGGAGGGGTGCTGGCTCATACCCTGGAATCCATCCTGGTTGATGTCACCAATGCTGGCCACGGAGAAGCCAAAGGCGGAGCGACTGGGGCCATGAAGGAGGAGGGAGGGGAGGGTGGGGAAGGAGGTGCCCGCCTGGTTCATGAAGACATAGATGGCACCTCCTACCTCTTCTTTCCGCTCAAAGTAGTAGGGGGCACCCACCAGGAGGTCCTGCCACCTGCACAGGAGAGAAGGAACAGGTAATGGGAGTGTGAGGTCAGCCCCCAATATGCAGCATAATTCTCGTTTAACAGGCATGACGGTGCCAGGGCACATGGCTGTGCAGACAGCTCCTCTGGCCACAGGTCATGGGAAGGACACGGAAACGCCAATGTGACCCACCAAATAGAAAACACATGCCATGGAGAAGCATGCAGGCACAGATCACACCCAAACAGCCCACAGCCACTGGAGCCAGTCAAATGACAGGCACCAACAAGCAAGTGCAGGTGTCATGCAAATGACATGCAAACATCCAAACTCCCATACAGTCTGATTGCAAATCCCTGAAAACAACACGCAGACAAATGCACAATTGCAAAACCTCCATTTCCCTGACCTGGCTTGGGCAAGCCCACCCTCCCCCACCTCTCTCCCTGGGCTCAGAGGATGTCCCTAGATTCTCACCCATCGTTGTTCAGGTCTGCCAGGGCAATGGCGCTGCCAAAATAGGCGCCCACCTGCGTGCCCTCCAGCACCTGCCTCCTCCGCAGGTCTCCGCCTGCCTCCTGGCTCAGCAAGAAGACAGCGCCCATATGTTGGTGCCGTGGGGCACCGGTCACAATGGTGATGTCCGTGGGGTGCAGGATGGCGCTGCCTACCTGCACCGTGTACCCTGGAATTAGGGGAAGATGTTCAGTGAAGGCCCTGGTAAACTTTGTCCCCTCCTGCTCTGGACCCATGGCACTGGTCTGTCCCCGCTCCCTCCCTCCATTACCTTCTATTCCACCATCCCAAGTTGGGCAAGAAATTGGACCCCAGATGTCCCATAGCCATGTCCCATTCATCCCCCAGACACTGTGCTGTGAACTTCGTGATGGTAGAGACTTTGCATCTTGGGAGCTTGGAACAAGGCCTGGCATACAGGTGGTGCTCCATAACTGTGTGCTAGTTGAGCTCAATGCAACTAGTCACATTGCACCTGGGCCTCACTCTTCCACCAGGCACTGAAGGTAAGAAGGCCAGGGTGTCTGGGCTGCACCCCCTTTTCCCTCTGCCACCCAATGGGCCACCACAACCGCACTCACCAATATAGAGGTTTCCTTGGTCCTCTGGGTCCTTGTAACTATACTCAGATAAATCCCAGTCCTTCCGCTGAATCATGTAGCTGTTTCCTTCACAAGGATTTGGGGAGGGGATATGGGAGGAGTATAAGTCACAACCTCCTTCCTCCACCTTATCCAGCCCCCCCACTGGGGAAAGATAATCCTTTTTATTTGCAAGCACTTCACCATTTATAAATCACTTCCTTTTTATTTTAACAATGCAGTGAGGTAGAACGGTGACCCCCATTTTGCAGATGAGAAAAGCAAGGCTCAGGGAGGGAAACCGACATGCTTGCTCACAGTCCCATGGGGAGCTAGTTATAGAGATACGGCTGGAATCCAGTCGCCCAGGCTCCTGGGTATTAGACACTAGATGGCATTTCCCTACTCTCTAGATGCTGAGGTCAGACTCTGCACCATCACCTCCTTCTGGTCCCGTCTCTAAACTCAGGCTGCCTACCTGGGCCCTGATCCTCAGGCTGTGCTGGAGAGGACCTGTGACCCTGACAAGGTTCTAAAGGGACAGGGGCTGGGAGGCAGGACCAGAGGAGGAGGCAGAGGCCTTAAGTGAGCCCACAGCCGTGACTATGCCCCAGCCTGCCTGTTGGTCAAGAGGAGGTTCAGGGTTCCCTCCGCCTGCTGATTCTGCAACAGTAAGGGCTTGCTGAGGGGAGAGGGGTCGCTATGGCTACAACCTGTGTTAGGGAGAGAGGCAAAGAGACGGAGGGAGTGTCAGGCATCAGACACGTGTGACACCTGTGACAGTGTATAGCATGGTGGTTACAAGCATGGGTCTTGATACAAGGAAATACTCTGCAGCCCCTAAAAGGATGGTCCTAGATGTATTGACATGAAAAAATGCCCACGACTTTGGATAAGTCAGAAAGAGAAAGTAGCAGAACAGCATGTTAGTATGATTTGTTTGTGGGGTTTTGTTTGTTTTTTTAAAACATACCTATGTATTCAAAAATAAGTCTGGAAGGATCCACAAGATACTGTTAACATTGGGAAATGGGACAAGGGAGATGGGTGGGAGAGGAGGGGCACTTTTACTCTTTTACCAAATCTTACTGTACTATTTAGTAGTTGTACTGGGAACATGTTTTATTTTTAATACATTTTTTAAATTTTTTATGAAATAGGGGAGTGAGGAGGAGGATTTAGTTTCCTTGTTTATTTATTTATTTTTTGAGACAGAGTCTCCCTCTGTCCCACTGGGTAGAGTGCCGTGGCGTCAGCCTAGCTCACAGCAACCTCAAACTTTTGGGCTCATGCGATCCTCCTGCCTCAGCCTCCTGAGTAGCTGGGACTACAGGTGCACCCGGCTAGTTTTTCCATTTTTAGTAGAGATGGGGTCTTGAACTCTGGAGCTCAAGCGATCCTCCTGCCTCAGTCTCCCAGAGTGCTAAGATTATAGGAATGAGCCACCATGCCCGGCCTATTTTTAAAATAAGTTGTTAAATGGTTAAACTGCAGTCAGATGGACCTGCATTCCAACCCAGGTTTCACAACTTACTCTTGGCCTTGGTTAATTTACTTCTCTAAGGCTCAGTTTTCTTTTCTATAAGATGGGTATAATGATACTTGCCTCCTAAGAGTATTTTGAGATCGACTGGGATAATATGTGGAAGGCCCCTGGCACATAGCAAGAGGTATAAAACAGTGGAGGTCATGGTGCTTGCTGATATTGGCACGGGGGTCCTGGCTCTTCTGCCCCCCGTGTGGATGATCTGGCCTGCTGTCCCAGCGGCTAACTGGAGTGGGTGGTCTCTGCTCCTCCTCCCTTCCCCCACGGTCCCCACCTTTCCAGTTGTAGGCGCCAGGGGCACCGAAGTACACAGTGCTCTGGGTGAAGCCGCCGCTGGTGCCCAGCTGGCACATGCCCGTCTCCAGGTAGTCGGTGTTGCTGTTGCACATCTCGTTGTGGTAGGTCTGCCAGTCGTCGCTGGGGTCCAGCTCTAGGTCATTGCCTCGCACGTAGCACTTGCCCACCATGCGGCGCTGGTCCTCCGACCCTGACCACAGCACTTGAGTGTAGCGGTGGGCACAGACCTGGGGACCCCGCCCCCGCAACACACACGGCCTTGGTCAGGAGCAGGGACCCAGGGCCAGCTGTCTCCTTTGCCCCGGGCACCTCTGGCTTTGTGGGAGAGGAGTTGAAGGCGCTCCCCGGGCTTCTCTTTCTTCCCACAGTGAAACTTAAGCCCATGTCTCCTTTCCAGAATTCAGAAATCTGCTCTGAAGGTCGGGAACACTTTTTGGAAAGGCAGTTTGGATTTGAGAATGGTTTAGAGATCTTGGGAAAGAGAAATGGGGGAAGGAGGAGGGATTGTGGGGCTCAGGTTCTTGGGTCTAAAAGAGGCTATTTACAGAGAGATTAGGAACCCGCTTCTCTGCTGTCCCGATGGCCCTGTCCTTTCATTGAAAGGACCATTATCAAAACAATAACGATATGATAGTGACAATAATAGCAGCAGCTAACCCTTCCTGAGTGCTTAGTCTATGTCAGGCACAATTCTAAGCTCTTCATGAACTAGCTTTTAAGCCTACTAACAACCCTATGGTGGAGGGATGATTATTTTCTCCATTTCGGATAAAGACACTGAAGCACAGGGAGCTGAGTCACCTGCCTAAGATCTCACATTGAGAGACAGAGCATCCACACCGAGGCTGTCTGTTTCCAGACTCTCAGCTCTTAGGCAGTCCGCTGCACCTCCTCACCGGGGAGAGTGTGCACAGCTTCTCGGGGCACGCTCTAGGTGCTTAATATAGATTCACCAGGCAAATCAATGGATCAGAATAGGTGTTTTAAAACAGCCTGGGGCCAGACAAAATCCAGAAATAGACCTAGTTCTTGTTTACTTGTGTTTTGTGTCCTCTTCCTGCCGTGAGTGCCACTAGCATAGCACCCAAGCTGCTCTGAGCCACCGCTAAGCTTCTGGTGTTTGGTACACAGTAGGTGCTCACTAAATACTTGTTGAATGAATGGATCGATGGGTGAGTAGATAATTGCTAAAGGACCCAGTGTCTAGAATCGCTTTAAATGGACTCCTAACCCCACAACCCTCCATAACAGGAGTCTTCAAAAGGCATCTCAGTGAACTAATGCAAACCTAGAGCTTAAAACTGTGTTCAAAGGTGACAGAAATCACGGCAGTGAGGGTTATGGGGGTGGTAGTTGATTGGAAGGGGGCACAAGGAACTTTCTGGAGTGATGTAAATGTGCTATATTGTTAAAGGGTGTTGGTTACACAGGTATATATACATTTGTCAAGAATTCATTGAAATTTAAAATCTGAGCATTTCACTGTATATAAATTTTATGTCAATTTAGAAAATGAAGAAAATGTATCCATCTGGGACCCATAAATTGAGACCTCAGGGGACACCACTGAAGAATGCGGGCAGGAGGTGACAAGTGACATCAGGGAGTGGCACCCAAACCAGAGCCGACTGAGCCGGGTCAGCAGGGCTGTGCCTCTTCCGGCAGCCAGCCTCCCAGGAAGGAGCTCCGGCCAGCGAGAGCCGCCTGGGGCCTTCTCTGCCCTTTCCTCCTTGCCATTCCCTCGGCTCACTCCCACGACGGGTGAGCACCAGCGTGCGTACGGGGAGGAAGTGGCTGAGTCAGAGAGGACTCAGGCCGTGCCTGGCCTGGGAGAGCGCCAGACGCCCCCCTCCCCAGGAGCTCAGGGAGCAAGGGACGCCAGGCCAGAGACACGGACATTTGCACAGGCCCCAGAACACGCACCGAGGACCCCTCTGCGGCTCTCCGCTTTCCTCCCAGCCCCTGGGAGATGGAGAGAGCTGGGTGGGGGTGGAGGAACCGATGCTGAGCACCCACTTACCAGGACTCTGCCTGCAGGGCCCTGGCTGGCCACAGTCACCCCGAGCCACATGTCCTCAATAATGTGATGGTCAGGGTCACCTGTGGGCACGGAGGGATCGTGAGCCTGGGCACCTCACTCCATACCCCAGTGCCCAAAGCCTCCAGAGGGCAGGGCTTGGTCGTCTTGGGCCCTCCCCGCAGCAGGGCAGCCCTCCCTGCACCCTTCCTCCAGCCCGTTATCACTGAGCACCCCGGTCCCTCACAGTCCCACTCTCGCCAAGCTCTCTTCCCAGCTGGACGAGAAGTGACTAGAAACTGCACCTCGGATCTCCTCCACCTCCTCCTCCCTGTTTACCCCTCTGCCAGGCCTCCCACCCAGCACTGGTCCCCAGCGCCTTCCCCTCACTTTTCTCTGTGATGTCCATGCGCTCACAGTCGTCCTTGTTGGCAGTGAGTGGGCACAGGTACACGGCACCGGTCCGGTTGGTGTAGCCATCGGGCACAGCAAGCTCCCGGGGGGCACCAGCCAGGAGCCTGGGGGCAGGGAGGGAGGGAGGTCCGAGCTCAGACTCCCCAAGGCCAGCTTCAAACCAAGTACAGTTCAGCAGGCATTGACAGATGCTCTGTGCCAGGTTCCGGGGCTCCAGAGACAAGTGGATTCCAGCCCCTGCCCTCAGGAGTGGCCAGTGTAGGGGAAGGCAGGCCAGGAAACAGACACTTGCAGTAAGTGCCTCATGAGAGGGAAGCAGGAAGCACACCGGCCCAGATTCAGGGGTGGGGACACTCATCCACAGCGGAGGTGACCCAGTCTGAGTGTGAGGAGGATGACCCAGGCTCACCAGGTGAAGAAGGGCAGGAAGGGCACTTTAGGTACGACATGTACAAGGGCCAAGAAGCAAGAGCAAGCAGGGTGACTCAGGGGTCTGCCAGACCCTCAGCATAGCTCGGGCCCAGGGATGCCCAAGGAGGACAGAAGGGGAGGATGGGAAGGACATGGGGGAGCTGCGGATGGATTTTAGGCAAGGGTGTAAACATGGTCAGATCTGCGTTTTGGAAGGAATGTTTCGGCCTTTGAGCTGAAGGTAGACCGGAAGAGAGTAAGACTAGAGGAATCCTGGCATAGGGTTCAAATTCTGGGGGGTCCAAAGGGAGGAGAACTTGTGAGGGGGTGGGATGGGTTGTCGTAGAAGCCTGGGTTCTTCCTCCTGAAGCCATCTGAGGACTTAGATCTCGGAGGCCTGGGTCCCTAAGTGACCCGGGTGATGTCCAACACCTCCCCCCTACCCTGCCTTGAGACAGGGTCACAGGGTATGGGGTGGGAGTGGGTGCCTGACACTCTGAACAGTGTGGCCCCAGAGCAGAGTTCCCAGTGGGTGGGCATGAGGGTGGGGGTGGGCAAGGACTGTCACCTTGCCCCCAGCCTGCCCAGAACCCATCTTCGCGGATGCCAACCGCAAGTTCCTACAAGGATGCTTAGGCCTAGTAACCCATCCCATACCAGGGGGGTGGCTAAAGCAGATAGAGGCAGGGGTCAACCCTGAAATACCAACTTGGAGGACAGTCCTTGGGCCATCAGCATCAGAAATCCCTGGGGTATTTGTTAAAGAGGCAGATTCCTCTGCCCACCATAGACCATCTGGATGGAATCTTCACACTCCAGTTGGAGAACCCAGTTCTACCATCCCTTCTTCTCCCCACATCATCTCCCTGTGGCCTCTCAATGCTCTGCCAGGACACCCTCCTAAATCCTGATGGACCCAGCCTCCTGGGTGACAAGCACGTTTCAGGTGTCCCTCCATTTGGCCCCAGCAACACCATTACCTTGCGGCTCCCAGCTCAGAACCTGGGCTCTGGGTCTCCTGCCAGAGTCTGGAAGTGCCAAGCTGTGGCTGCCTGGGACTCGTGAGTGTAGGCTGCAGGGAGTGGGTAGGGCAGGGCCTGGGCATGCCGGGGCCTGGGGTGCCTCCGCCCACTGGGAGTCAGGAATGCACTGCCTGGGGGTGCTGGCAAGGGGTGGGACCTTGCCTGCACCTCACCCTGGGGAAGTGTTCCTGGGAACAGGAGTGAAGCTTCCCAGCCAGGAAGGCTGGCAGGGAGCCAGGGTAGCAGCCAGGCCTGAGTAGTCACCTTCTGTCTGGGCTGGGGAGGAGCCTCGATGAGTCCACTGCCTGACCACCCATGGACATCGCCCCTTGGCGTGCCTGACACCTGAGAGAAGGAAGCCATGCCCTGGGAAAGGAGCATCTCGGCCCGGAGCCTGAGGACCTGGTTCTAGGGTTTGTTCTGCCTGAAGAGGCAATTTCCTTTCCCTTCCTGAGCCTTGAATGCCTGGTCTGTAAAATGGGGACAGCAGTTGTTCTGCTGACTTCCAGGGTTTTTGGAGGAACAAGTGGGTTTATTCTGCAAAAGGGTTTTATGACTATGAAGCCATGGCCAACGTAAGCACTGCTGCTCTGATTTCTTCTAGCACCAAGGCTGGCCCTAGCATGACCTCAGGCCGCCCTGCAGGGACCCAGGAATTTCTGCTCAGGTGCGGGAACATGGAGCAGAGGGAAAAGAATGGACTGCTTGGGTCCTTTCGAGGGAGCAGGGATGGTAAGGAGGACTTCCAGGGCCTGAGGATAGCAGGCGATCACCAAGGTGGGGGTGTGGTGCTGGCAGCTGGAGTCATTCTAGGGTGGGAGATCAGATTTGGCTAGAGGTGGAGATTGGGGCTTGGCTACAATGACCTTGAAGGAGTCCAGTCCTCAGGGAGTGAGGGGGGCCCTGGGGAGCTCAAGTTGCCTCCAGGCCATGCAGCGGAATGGGAGTGTCGCCCCTGCCCCTGCTGCTGCTGCCACCTCCGCCACTGCCTTGTCCAGGGTGTTGAGTCAGAGGTGGTCGAAGAGCAGGGTCTCCATGCTGTCTCTGCTCCTCATCTCAGCTGGGGGGACCGAGGGACCCCCTCCTCCTAGCCTCCTGAAGTATTCAGCAGGCAGAGCTGGGCATGAATGGCAACTGGATTGAAATGAACCCCCTTACCACCTTTACCCTCCCACCCCCTGCCCCAAGCCAGCCTTGTGCCCACTGATGGGGGAGGGGCAGGACCAGGGCTCTAAGCACAGCCCCCCATCCCAGGCCCCTCCCTTCTCACAGATTCCACAGGGAGCCCCCCCAACCCTCCCGGAGTATTTTTAGCTCCTACTTGGCCTGCTCAGAAGCCCTTTTAGGCCCTCTGGCTCCCAGCCCAGGATCCAATGGGTCTACAGCCAGAGGCCTGCACATGGATTGGGGAAGGCGGGTGTGCAGAGGTTCGGGTCCAGCTTCTTCCAGCCACAGCCATGTGTGTGCAGTGGGGGCTGGAGAATACAGAGGGTGAGAGGGACCTTACTGGTATGCAAATGAAATGTAAATTGCCATGCAAATACGCACCTCAGCTAGCCACCTGCTGTTGCGTCTGGTCTGATGGATCGCAAAGTGCAAAAGCCGACTCCTTCCAGACCACTACTGAGCCCACCCTCGCAGTGGAGGTGAGAAAGAGGGAGAGGCCTAGATGGAGCTCTTGGAGCAAGGAAGACAGGAGCTGGGATGGCCCCTCTCCTGGAGTCAGGCTGGACTAGGGGGAGCAGACAGCCCCAGCCCCCTGGAGGTAGCGGGATGGGTAAAATGACCTCTCAAGGGCTTTCAAATAGCTGCCTCTTCACCCTCTGATGGCTCCAGCCAGACAGCCCCTCCTAGCCTCTGGGGAACCCCCTGAGCTCCAAGTTCCGGAAAAGCGCCTCCTCACCCCTGCCCCGGCACTCATCCCACCGCAGTTCAGAGCTAATGGAATAGCCAAGCAGAGAGCAATAGAATCAGAGAAGGCTGGAGCATAGGGCCCAGGAGAGTTCAGGGCACCAGGGTGGCTCATCCCAAAGATCAGGCCCCCAGGGGGCACTGGGGTGGGCGATGCTAGGAGAAACAGCCTATAAGATCCAACTTCCCAGATACTCTCACCTCGGGGTGCTCAGTGGCTCCAGTGGGAAGATTCAGAGGGGGCCAGAGGATCTAGCACACAGGCCAGCAGGGCCCCTGTGCCTTACTGCTTGAGTCTCTAGCCACCTGTGTTCCCCTCTCTTCCCAGGCCAGGAAGCAGGTGGGGAGGAGACTTGCTGTAGCCATGAGCCCCAGGGTAGGGGTGGGGGCAGCTCTCAGATGCCTGGATCCAGCTCTGTGCCAGCTCTGCTGCCCGAATTAGCCAGCTCCCCAGAGGCTGCTCCTATGGTAGCTGAAGCTGCAGCCCTCCTCGTCCTCCCCTACTCCTCCTTCGCTGCTCATCCAGCCCCCTCTCCCCACTGGTGACTCAGCCCTAGAACCAGAGCAACGAACTGTAGGGAACGAAAGAATGAGAAAGGCCGGGAGAAAGAGGCCTGGCCAAGCCTCAGATAAGAAAGAACAAGGCCGTTTTTTTTATTTCTTCTCCCCTTCCTTGGCTCTTTAGTATTTTTTCCATATTCAACCCCTGAGGGCATCCCTCACAACATCTAACCTCAATCTCTCTTACTGTAAGGGACGTCCTCTTCCTCCCATGTTTAGCTCTGACCAAGCCCCTTTTGCTGCTACTTTTCCTACAAGACCAGCCTTCCCTGACCTCCAGCCCAACTGAAAACCCTTTGGCTTATCACTGGAGAGAGCCAGAGGAAAAGGACACACACGTGCGGGCCTTCTGCCTGCAGCCACAGCTGCTGTGCCCATTTCTGCTGGCACGAGCCTTGGAGGCTGCCAGGCACCCGCCCTGCCCGAGGAAACATGATTTAGGACAGCACAGCAGGTAAGCCTGGCTCTTGCCTACCTCAGGCATGATCTCATTCCAGGAGCCACAGCCACTCCCACCCTAGGCTTCCCAGACACCCTCATTTCCCAGCAAAGGTGGAAGGGAGAGAGGGCCCCGAGGTATCCCCCACAGCCGGTGAGGTCAAGCCACACGAGGACACCTGGATTCCCAGGAGGGAATGACAGAGCAGGTCCTGGGGGGAGGGTGTAAATAACCACTTCCCAGAGAACAGTCCCTCTCCCCACAAGGTGCCCTCATGCATCCTGCCAAGAAGCCCAAAGCACCTTGGTCCTCCGCCTGCCCCTCCTCCCTCACTTCCAGAGACTGGGAGATGGGGGCCTGGGTGCGGAGAGCCTCCTACGTTGTGGTCAGGGAACCCCAGCCCAGAGATGATGGTGATGGGGCAGCAAAGAGAGTCTACCTTGGGTTTCTAACCATTTCTGGAACAAGGCCTCCTTTGAGAACCTGAAAGCTGTGCTCTCCCCTCCTCCCACCCCCCGGACAATGTACAAACACACATGACTTTTCATATACTTCCAGGGGTCCCCGCATCTCCTAAAAACCTACGAACCCCAGGCTAAAATCCCGTTCAGGACCACGAACCATCCCCCTTCTCCAAAGAGACTTTGAGGCTAACAGATCATGAGGCTGCAGCTTGATTTGCCAGCTCCCTCGAGCTGTGCACTGAGGCAGCTGTTCACATCTGGCTACGCAGCTGGCTGCAGCTAAGCCCAGCTGGCTCAGCTGGCTCCTCCAAAGAACCAAGGGGCAGAATTCAGTGAGATGAAGAGACGAACCAGCCCTAGGAAAGACTGAGGGTAGCCACGGGAGGACTCAGAACTCTATGTAGAACTACTTGCCTCTGGGAGGTTCATTAGCTTTAGAATCTTCTGGGTTCTTGGAAGCCTAATGCCATCTGTAGCTGCCCAGGAAGAAAAGTGGAACCCCTTTGCTCTGCCACCTTGGGTGGGGCCCGTAGGTAATGGGGGTGCCTCCAGGTCCTGGAGCCTTTGGGTGCTCCTTGGAAAGATGGGCGTGGGCAGGGAATTTTACACATTATCTCATTAAGGCCCCACTAACATCCAGGAAGAAGACATGTTGTTTCCTCCCCAACGTGTGAGGAAATTAAGGCCCAGATATTGGTGACAGATCCAAGACAGGATCCTGGCCATGGGACTCTGAGCCTTTTCTCCCTCCACGATGCCAAGTTGCCTCTCACAGGCCAACAGAGGTAGGAGGCAGCTTGCAGATCCAGGTCCAACCCCCTTTTGGGGAAAACTAGCCCCAGAAAGGGATATATCTTCGTCAAGGTCACATAGCCAAGCGGGGGAGGGGTTGCAGAATCATTATTTACTCATTCTTTCCAGTGAGATCCTCTCTAGGCCTGTGTTACCTTACAACATGCAAATTTGGCGTTGAAAATATGAAAATCTTTTTCTGGGCTTGGGCAGAAAGAGCACTGACATAGAAACTTGTGCTGATGGTCAGTCACTCAGGAGCTCCAAAAGGTGCAGGGTTGGCCAAGGCAGGTGGCAGCTGCTAGGGCTGGGCTGGGAAGGGTGTGGTGGCCCTGGCCTCTGCAAAAGCGAGCAGCAGTGGAGGCCGAGTTCAGGTAGGGAGGCTGGGCAGGGGCTGGGCCAGCAGGGCAGAGGCCAAGGCTGCGCAGAGTTTGGACTTTGAACATTCCCAACTCCCACAAGTTTCTTCAGGCCCCAGTCAGAGCTGGGAGAGGCTTCAAGGCAACCTTCGTCTGACCACGTCTTCTTGTTCAGTGGGGTCAGAGGCCAGGTGGGGTCATCCAGCCCAAAGAGGTGGATGGGACCAGCCTGACCTATCCTGACCACCATCCCTCCCTGGCAGCCTCATCTCCCCCAGACACCTTCTTCCCCCAGCAGCCAAACCGAGCACACTCTGAGTCCATGGCAGAGAGACCTCTGAAACCCGGACATGACCCCCTGGGCATGAGTGCCTATGGTGGGGTGGGGACCCAAGCAGCTGAAGGCAACCACCTCCATGCATGGCTCTTCCCTTCTTTCTCCTAGCAGCTGTTGGGGAGGGAGAACAGAAGAAAGAGAAAAACACTACTTTCCTCTTCAAACCAAAACAAACACACTCAGGGTTGAAGATTCAACATGAATCTGTGGAATGCAGGGAAGATGTCTGGTGGGAGAGCACCACTGCTGGGGGTGGGCACAAGAGACCAGGCCAAAGTGCGGACAGCTCCTCCACTCTCTTCTAGTCCCCCCACCCTCAGGGGGTCAGAGGCAGTGTCTGGACAGCTCCAAACGCCCAGACTCACCCATCGCCTCACCCCCCAACCGCCAAGGGTTGAGAAGGCCATTCAGTCTGGCTCTGCAGAGGGTGTGGTTGGTGTGGCCGCAGACTCCATGCGAGGTGTAAGGGGGGGTGGTGTGCTTAAATGCATATGCTCAGGGGTTTTTCCCAAGCGTAGGGGAAGGGGGTTCCGCTAGGTATTTATCTTGCAGTTTTCCCCAGCTCCCAGGCCTGGAGAGAAGAGGCTAGTTCTGGTACTCGGTTCGCAGAATGGGAGGGGCCTCAGGCAACCTGGACCCCACTTCCGCTCGCAGGAGAGGTCTAAAGGGCGGAGGAGTGGCGTCTAGACAGGTTCTAGCCCGGTCAGCACTTGCCAATAATTACTGCCCCCTATCCCACACCCAATTCTCCACTTCCCGCCAAGCCCCAGCAGCCAAAGGGCTGCCCGGGTATCCGCCCCCTTAATCCTGGCTCACCAGGGCCAGCGGCAGCGGGCCTGGAAACCAGCGGGCCCAGGTCTCCGACTCAGCTCCCGATCGATCGCACCCGGCACACACTCTCTCCCTCCTACCCCACCCCCGCCGGCCTCACTTACAGGTAGCGCTGCTGCCGCTCCGTCTGCCGATGGAGGGCGACCGAGTAGCCGAAGAGGCTGCCCGGGTTCTCGGCCTCCTTCACCACCAGGAATCGGGTGTCCAGGTTGAAGGCGGAGGCGATGCGGCCGCCGGCCGCCACCATCAGGGCGAGCGCGCAGAGCATCGGGCGCGGGGCGCCGGGCGCACGGCGGGGGCCGGGGCCCATGGCTGCGAGCCGGAGCGGGGGCCCGGGCGAGAGCGCGTGAGGGCGCGGAGCTGGGAGTGAGGACCTGTTCACCTGCTCCCCGCTCCGCCGAAGGGCACTGGCACCCGCCGCGCGGTGGAGCCCAGTGGTGCCGATCAGTTTCCTGCCCCCAGCCCCGGTCAGTTTCACGTCTGCTCAGGGTCTGCGCTCTCAGATCCCCTTCCAAGGTCCGTGGGTCTATTCTCCCGCCTCCCCAGCAACCGGGTCACCGCTGCCCCTGCCCCAGGCACCCGGCCCTCCAGCTCGTCCTGGCCGCGCCCCCTTGGCCGCGCTGTCGCCTTCGATCCCGACTCGGCGGCGGTTCTGGCAAGCAGAACGGCAGACCGCAAGGAGGACGGGAGGGAGGGGTCCCCGCGGCGCGCGCCCCGCCTCCCCACGCCCAGTCCCGCACCTCCCCACCTTGCGCGCCCAGCCCGGGCTCCGCTTTCCTTCCGGGGAAAGAGAAAAGGTCCCGGCTCGGCCGCCGCCTCTTAAAGGGGCAGCACCGCCCCTCCCTCCTCATCCTCCCTACCCCGGCTCCGCCCTTTCCCCCAAACACCTGTCGGGTGTCCCCAAAGACTTGTATTTCCCCTCTCCGCCCCTCGCTTCTCCGGGGAAGCGTCGCCTCCGGAGCAAGACGGATCGGACGGGCGGGGCCGTGGGTGGGATTTGTCCAGCTCCTTGCTGCGGCTGCTACTGCTGCTGGAAAGGCCGACCCAGGCGCCGCCACCTCGGCCGGCCAGGCTGGAGAGAACCGGCGTTGGCGCATCTGCGAACCGCCGTCCGCGGCTGGCTGGAATACTGGACTCGCCTCCGCAGCGCTGTGAGTCCCAAAGAGGTGGCTGGCGGTCTCTGGGCGTTCTTCCTCTCACCCAGCCCCCTCGCTGCCTTTGTCGAGATTTATTTCTCCTGCCAACCCGCCCCACCCACCCCGATCCGAGCTGAGACTGGCTTCTCAGCAAAGCTGGACAGATATTTAGCGGTGGTGATAACAATATCGCTAATTGTAATTAACAAAAAAACATTTGTCCCCAAGGGCTGCGCCTTCTGGTAGCACGGGATGAGACTGTGGATGTGTAATGAGTGCCTGCTTCTCAGAGCGCACGGCGTGGCCGGGAGCTGGGCCCAGACTGTACCCGTTCTCATCCACTCCAGCCTTCAGGGCCCAGCCCTGCAGAATCCCAAAGTTCCCCTCCTCCCACCCACGCTCCGACCGAGTGTTTGGAGACTGGGCGGGGACGCCACCGCCTACAGGTGTGCAGTGGGAAGCACCAGGTGGCGTAGGTGGGCGGGGCCTAAAGAGCTCATTATCCGCAGAAGAGTCAAACTGAAAGGGAACTTCGAGAGGTCACTGTTATTTTCTTGAGTCTAACTCAGATTTCCCTTATTGCAGCACAAAAACTCATTTTCCCTGGCAGTCTTTTCTCTATATATTTTCAAATAAGAAAAAAATACCATGCATTAAGCACGTATGCAGCAGGAACTATACTAAGTGCTTTACAAATACTAAGTTAAATCCTCACAACAATCTTTGAGGTGTTATCTCTGTTTTAAGATGAAAAAACCGAGGCTCAGGGAGGTTAAGTAATTTGGCAGAGGCCACACAGCTGGGATTCGAATCCTGTGTGATCTGACCCTGGGGCCCTTCTTGCCCACTTATGCTAATAATTAATGTGTGTACAATACTTTGGGCACATCCAGGTTTGGTGGGGCCTGAAGCTTGTGCAATTTGGGGGCTCTCTTTAAGGAAAAGAAGAAAGAATTAGGAGTAAAAACTAGCTTCAGAGCCTGGGAAAGGGCCCCAGCCTAACTTTATAGTTTACAAATCATCTCACGAGCAGGCTCATTTCATCCTCCCAGCCTCCCTGCGAGGTCAGGATGATCATCTTCTTTTGACTTATGGGGGAACAGAGCCTCAGGAGGTTGCCTGGATGTCCAAGGTCAGGAAGCTTATGGGAGGCAGAGCCAGGACTGGAAGTCACTGACCACAGCTGTGTCTTTAAGAGACAAACCCCAGGCACATGTTGGTCAGACAGCCAGACATGTCTAAACAAAAGCAGCTGCCATAACAGCTTTTCTGGGGTTTGGGGAGAGGACACTTGTCCATGACTGCCCTTAGGGCAGCATTTGTTCCCAAGTTGTGACTCCCAGAGCCACCCGGCCTCCTTCACGGTCTGCCTTGTGGCTTAGGGTCTCTGCGGGTTAGGAGACATCTGGGGTCAAGGAACAGGAAGCTGACCTGGATGGAAGTTAAACAGACCTTTGCTCTCCAGGCTGGCTCCTGAGTCTTCCACTGTGTTCCTGGAGAAAAGGAGATAGCTAGGGCCCGGAGGGCAGAGGCCCAGGGTGGACACTGAGTGTGGTCAGGGGGCCTGTCTAAAACAGCTCTGAGACTCCTGTGATGACAGATCGGCCCCATGCCAGGCCTTATCTCTTTGGCCATCCCAAACAGGAATGACCAGCATGTCCGATCCCGGGACTGGGAGCAGGAAAGGGATGAGGGATGGTTTTTCCACTCCAGGGGAGTGTCCAGAGGGAATGTGGGAGCGGAGCAGGGGTGACTGGTGGGGGTGGGCTGAGCTAAAGAATGTGGGGGAGTGTCAGGCAGAACTGGGGAGATGGAATGGGGGTGGAGGGAGATGTGGAGAGTGCAAGGGTCTGCGCCGGAGAGATGGAAAAAGAGAAACTCCAACATCATGCCAAGGGGCTTAAATCCAAGCGTCCAAATCAGTGACGTTGTCATCTACAGCCTCATCTCATCTCTCAGTTGACTTTATCATGTCAACTCTTTATCTGTCAACCTCTCCCCGTGGAGAAGGGACCCACCTAGAAACACAGGCAGAGAAACAAGGGCACAGGAATAACGTGTGTAATGAGAAGCCTAAGTCTATTTTTTGCTGCTTACTGACAGCTTTCAAGCCTCACCCCTCCCTCACCCCCTGCACCCCACACCTGGACAAGCTGATAAGAAAGCCTGGGTGCTCTCTCGCTTGGCATCCGAGGGAGGAGATCCGCAAGCCCCTTCAGGCAAGAACACTCGCTCACGACCGCAATAAAAACCCAGGCCAATCTCCTCCCTGGCTCTCTCAAGCCATTTGGGACCGGCATGAGAGGCTGGCCCTGCTCTCCCTGGAGACCTCAATTATGTCAATAATAAAACTTTTCATACCCTCTTGGCGTGTGGGTGGCGTCATCAGTCTTGACATTGAAACCAAACCTTGGATGGCGTCCATCTGCCTCTGCAGGTGACCATAACCATGGGCAAACTGTGGGTCCTGCTGGAGGGCCAGGGAGGCTTCCTGGAGGAGGAGTATCTGGACAAGGGGGAAAGACAGGAGTGGCAAGAGGAAGAAGCCTCTGGGGAGAAGAAAGGCAGAAGGGTTGGAGCTGCTTCTGGGTGAAGTTTTCCCAGCCAGGGCAAGGACAATGTCAATATTCTGTAAAGGCGACTTCCGTTTATTTAGCACGTGCTGTTTTTGCACCAGCCTTCCCCTGCCTCCCTGTCCCCACACCCAGAGTCCCAGAGCCCCAGAGCACACCACTCGGGGCCCTCACCTCCCGGGGCGAGGCACACAGAGGGAGTCCAACTGTGTGCACTTGGTTGAGGGCAGGCTCTCTTCTGCCTTCTCAGCTTGGGCCACTTACCTTCCTGCTCCAGGCCTTGGTTTCCCCATCTGTGAAATGGAAGGGCTGGAGAAAGCCCCTCATTATTCCCCAGTCTGCACCCACTGGGTGCCAGGGTTTCTAGTATCTGCTGAACCAAGTGGACCAAAGCTCTGCTGTTGAACTAAGACTCCCGTCTGTATCTCAGACTTGAATTGAAAATGCAAATTACTGAGGAGGGAGGGAGGGAGGAGTGGGGAAGCTGAATGGGCTTATCGGATTTCCTTCTGTGACCCAGATGTAGGCCAGGTCTAGGCAACTCCCCTGGCTCAGAATCCACCAGCCTCAAATGCTCATTGACAACCTACTAGGTACCAACTTGGGGCTGAGTCCTCTTGGGGGTATCTTTGAGGCCGGGTCTCATCCTGGCCTCACATTCTAGAAGCTCTCAAATTTAAAGAGGCTAAACACACTTTTCGTTGTATTTTAGGGGTGGTGCTTATGGGGCAAGGAGGGCTGTCAGGAAGAACATTCTGGCTGTAGCATGAATTTGACATTGCCGGGAGAGACTGGGCAGGGTGGGAGGGGGCTGCTATAATAATTTGGACAAGGGGTGAGGTGGGCTGAGCAGGGGCAGAGGCTGAGGGAGGGAGTGAGTGAGGAAGGCCCAGGGCTCTGATTTGACTGGACTTCAGGAACAGGTAGGGATCAGTGGGCAGTGACCCCCATGGGGGTGTGGTGAGCAGGACCCAAACACTGGGGAAGCTCCCTGCCGGCCTATCCTCTCTCTCTATTTCTCTAGCTCTCCCCAGGCCCACGCCTACCGCACAAGGCCTAGCCTTGATGCCCACCCCCTGCCCCAGCCCCCAGGGGCCATCCCCTCCTGGCAGGGAAATTAGGACTCTGGTAGGCTCTTCAGTATTCTCTGTCTCATGTCAAGGTGGCCCCTCTGAGCTTAGGAGGCCACATGGTAGAGGCAGCCCCAGCTGAGCCTGGCTGTCACCACCCCACAGGGGCCTTGTCATTTCCCCGGGAGAAGCCTTCTTATGGGAAGAGTTCTGTGCTCAGGTGGGAAATCTGGGTAGGTGGCGGGACTTCATCTACCCCGCCCCCCACCCTGCTCCTACTAAGTCCCTAGATACTCCACTAGGGTGGAAGGTTCCTACATGTTCATTGATCAGAATGTGTGTCTGTGCACATGGACCCTTATGCATGCACATGTGTTTGCCTGTGTGACTATGTGTCTCTGAATGTTTCCTGTTATATTTCAATGTGGAAAGGGAGCTAATATTTTTTGAGCACCTACTATGCACCTGGCCTTTTATGTGTGTTACCTTCTAATACCCCTATGAGGTATAGATGTCTCCCAGTTTACAGATGAAAATACTGAGATGCCCAAAGTACAAGAGTGTGATTCCCTCCCCCGGTGTGGCTGGCACCTGCCCCAGGGCTGCCTAACTCCATGGTCATGTCCTTCCAGAGTGGGCTCCGCAGGGACAGGGTGTGAGAAGTGTGTGTGTCTACATTGATCCTTCTCCCGGTGGCTGTGATTGGTCTGGGGGCTAGGGACAGGTCAGTAAGGCCCTATGGGAGTGGCTGAGTGAATGGATGAGAGTCGTGTCCCTTGCCTGTGGCACATACTTCTGGTCCGGTCGGTCCACGTGGCTGACCAGCCCGGACTTGCCCCACTGGAGGCCAACATTCTCATGGCTCGTCAGTGCTCGCTGTGCTGCCTTCCTTGTACTGCAGTACTAATGGATGTAGGAACGTACCTGCTACAGTACGTGAAACATGGTTGTCTGCTCAGGTAGAAATAAAAACTGGAAATACCAAAGTGGGAAATCCTGTCTCCATGGTG